TTCAATCATGAAAAGAGGGAATCCCTTTCCCTTCATCTGCAGGGAAGAGGGAATCCCTTTCCCTTCCCTTCATTTCCCTTCATTGCCCTTTTCCCTTCACATTCCCTTCAAATACCCTTTAAATACTGTGCATTGCGTTTATAATACACTGGTATATTGTATACAGCAAAATATACTACTTTATAGACAATAATATACAGTTTCTATACATTTATTGAACAAATTTGGCACAAAAATAATACTTTATCTGTGACTAGATTTCATTTTAAGAGAGATTCCCTTCATTTTCCCTTTCCCTCTGCGGGAAATGAAGGGAATTTTTGTTAGAGGGATTCCCTTTCCCTTCCCTTCAACTCATTTTCAATTGGAGGGATACATATAAATATAACGTTCAAATACATATAACGCAGTTTTGTGTATTAAACGCAATGAATTTCACAAATAAAATAAAATATTTTAATTTAAATAAAATTTTGCAATTTAAAATAGAATTACAACATTGTACATTTCTTAAAAATAACATTAATAATAATAACAAAAAGAGCACTATGAACTTTATATTTTTACTTTTGTAAATACAATATTATATTATTTGATACACATCATTTTAAATTATCAATACAGTCTATGAAATAGGCTTAATTCATTACTGAATTTATAAATAATATACTGTTAATTAAGTAATAATTAAAATTAATTTTTTGACTGATTCTGTGCCGCATAAACACCTTTCCTCCACTTTTCAAACGCTTTCCAACCGATACACCACTCGTAGGGTTTGGGGTAAGTAAATGTGCTGTCAGTGCCCACACTGTCGGCCGCCCTATACGGCCAGTGCGGGTCATTGAGAAACCCGCGGCCAATAAACACAAGTGTGGCCTTATTTTGTCGCACAATCTCATCGGCCATCTGTGGGTTAGTTATCTCTCCGACCACTCCGGCCGTTACGCCCACCTCTTCCACCAAACTCTGGGCGGCGTTCAGATGCACTTTAGCCGTCTGTTTGTACTCAACGCCCGACACAACACCACCACTACTGGCCGTAATGTAGTCGACGCCCAACGCCTTCAACCGTTTGGCAAACTCCAGGGTTTGCTTCAAATCCCAGCCGTTGTCGGCGTAATCGGTGACCGAAACCTTTGCGCCTAAAACAATGTCGTCGGGCAAAGAGTTTCGCACACTTTCGGCCATTTCAAGACCGAAACGCATCCGATTCTCGAGACAACCGCCGTATCGGTCGGTCCTATGGTTAGTGATCGGCGATAGGAATGTGCTGATCAGATAACCATGGGCGAAGTGCAACTCAATCACCTTGGTCATTTAATAAATACACTATTTTAAGACACTATTCACAACAGAAAACCAGCACTTCATACCTGAAAGCCCGCTTTGACCGCTCGGAGAGCCGACGAAACAAACGCACCGGTAATCCGATGAATGTCCTCAACGGTGGCCTCTTTGGGCACTTTATCCATATTAGCGCCGAAAGCGATGGCCGACGGGCCGATCGTAGGCCAACCGCCCTCCGAGTCGGGTATAGAGCCCCGGCCCACAGTTGGCGGCAAATTACTGCCCTTACGGCCGGCGTGTGACAGTTGAATGCCGGCGACTGCGCCCTGACTTTTCACAAATTGCACGATTCTGGCCAACGGCTCGATCTGTTGGTCACACCACAGACCCAAACAGTGATGAGTGATGCGACCCCTGGGCTCCACACCCGTGGCCTCCATCACGACGAGCGCCGCGCCTCCCCTCGCGAATGAGCCCGCGTTCACCAAATGCCAGTCGTTGGCCAATCCGTCGGTCGCCGAGTACTGACACAACGCCGGAACGCAGATCCGATTCTTCAGTTTCTGTCCTCGGATTGTGAGCGGAGAGAAGAGATGGCTCTTCGCTGTGCCGTTCATTGTATTGTATGACTACTCTATTGGCGATTATTATTAAACGTTTTTTATTATTAATTTAATTATTTGTAAATGTTATACACATGAGTGATCGCAATTCAATGTCACAAAAATCATTACATTGTTAACTACTGGTATTGGTTTTAGTAATTGATTATAAAAATGACATAACAATAACATTTATAAAAATAAGTTACAGTATTTGATAAGTGGGCAGAATTCTTGAAAACACACATGATACAATTTAATGGTATTATTAAACGTTTCTTAATGTGAAATACTGTGTACAGTTACGGTACTACAGTATATGTAAAATAGTTTAGCTTTTGTGGTAAAGTTGTATAAATTATTTATTCTTAATGGTTAAAAATCATTTATTGATGTCTAGCAACAGTACTTTAAATGGTAATGATGTTCACTATTTCTGTGTTTTATTGATTATTGGGAGAGAGAGTTAGGAATTAAATTATAATTGCTATTTTATGTAGAAATACAATTTTTATCTATTTCAATGAATTAATGCAGGATTATTAGTTTGAATTTAGTGTGAATTTAGTGCACAAATGTTAGTTGTATAAGGTTAATTTGTTATTAATAATGGTGGTTTTGTAAATATATTTTATAACAAATGGATTATTTATCATTTTAACCGACAAACATAACACATGCACTGTATTTGATAATTTTTATTGGAATTTTTGTATATAATACAGTAATTTTATACAATAATTGTATTCAGTACATCATAATATTATTATCATTGTGTAAAGCTCATCATCTAGTAAAAGTGATTTTATTTTTATCAACAAGGTAAATTTGGTATTTTATAATATATTTAATAATAGTATAATGTATTAGTAATTACTATAAAGTTTATAGTATAAACATTATATTTACATCATATAAATTTAAAATATAAATAACTACTTTATTTAGTTACATAAAGGTAACTTCAGTTAACTATAGTTATATTGTTTCTAACCTACAGTATCTCTCTCTCTCTCTCTCTCTCTCTCTCTCTCAATTATCTGGAAGTTAGTAACACTGAACT